AGCGACTGCCTTCGGCTCAGATCATGATCCTGGAGTCCCCGAATCGAGTCCCGCATCGGGCTCCCTGCTCGTCAGGGGGTCTGCTTCTCCCTCGGACCCTCCCCCCTCTCATGTGCTCTCTCTCAAATAAATAAATAAAATCCTTAAAAAAAAAAAAAAGAACCTATGAACTAGGCAGAATGAGGATTATTCCCATTTTACAGATGAAGACACCTGAGGCCAAGGACCTTTCTTCACAGGTCAGACAACACCTAGGTAGCAGAACCAGAGTCTAGGGAGATGGTCCAAAATCCTGACCTTCCAATTTAGGTTCACAGTACGCCATCTACTGACCAAGGAAGGAAGTGGCCCGAGACATGAGAAACCGCACAGCGGCCAGGGTCTGTCAGGGACTTTCAAGCTCAATCCTCACGCCTTGCCAATAATCAAATAATCGAATGGTACCATCCTGCCCTTACCCTTAATGTGGCTGAGATGGTCCGGATAACTGAGACGCAGGGATTCCACATTCCACATTATTCAATTTGGAAAACTGAGGTCTGACTGGATGATGCCGGACAAGAAGAGATCGACTCTATGTCCTGTGCCTGATGCAGGGAGGGCGGAGGATGACCACCCCAGACAGCCGGTGATGTGACACTGTTATCTGGCTGTTTGAGGGCAAGAGGGCTGGTCAGAGAGGGAAGTCTCTTGGGTCCTACTTACCATGGTAGTCGATATGGTCTCCGTGGTGATGGAGGGAGCAGTTGTTACGGACTCCTTTCCCCCTGGGGCAGTCCCATCAACCTGCTGGCCAGAGGAGTCATGAGAGAGAGAGAGAGAGAGAGTGAGTGCGCACACCGCATGTGCCTGCAGCATCCGCTCCTGGGCAGGTGGCATTCCCAGTTACAGAGGGACGGGCTGTGTGAGTGCACGTGCGCTGGTGGGCGGGGGTGGGGGGGCTCGTCCACACACTGAGTTACAGGGGGTCCTCACAGGTCCCCCAGTTCGTTTGAATCATCTTATTTGACAAAAGACAAAAAAAATCCCAGATAATTTCACAAGCCCTATGCAAATCTCAGTGTATGTATTCCTCAACCTAGCAATTCCACGGCCGGGAGTTCATCCTTTGGATATCAACTCTGAAAACTTTGCCAAGAAGTACGAACAAAGAAGTTCACGGAAGCATTAATTGTTAACTGCCAAAGACAAAAACAGCCACAGGTCCATTGATGGGAGACTGCAGGATAAGTCAGGACCCGCTCCTAAGTGGGACTAAGAGTAAGGTGGGCCCACATATGGCAACGAGGAATGATCTCCAAGACAGTCATTAAGAAAAAAGGGTCAGGTGTAAAAAAGGATCTCTTCTGTGTAAAATTCTGCAATCTAGAGATATAAGTGTATATATTAGATATGCATAGATTTTTTTTTTTCTGGAAAGAATCACAAGAAAAGTTTCCATCTGTTTTGTTCGAATTTCGTAACTGTGAACACTTTGTCACTGTTTTGTTTTGTCGTCAATAAGGATTACTGGGCTGTTGACTTTGGGGCCTTTTTTAGTTTTCTCTGTATCTCTCTATACGAAAACAAAATAAAACACCGGTCACTAAAACAAAATAGGCCACAGAGGAGGCATGTGGCTTGAGATCACACAGCTCGTTAGAACTCAAGCGCCTTTGGCCGCTGCGCCAGCTGATACAGAGACCACTGTGCATGTTACAATCAGGGAAGAAAAACATTCTGGAAACGACACAGTTGTCCACATTGTGTTGGTTTATGCCTTACTTTAGTTCTTGAAATGCAAACTAGTCTCCACCCCCGGCACTGCAGCTCCTCTGGCCAGGAGGAACCCAGAGGGCATCTATCAGACCTACAATCTCAAGGTTCAAAGTGTAAAAACCAAAAAACCACAAGAGGAACCTCAGCAATGCTCTGTGCACCCGTATGCCCATAGCGCACCTGTGTCTCTTTCGGACTGCTCCGTGCAGGGTACCAAGTATGTTTCATCTTGCTAAGACAAATGATTTTTTGTTCATTTTGCCAGTGATATGGAACCCCCATGTGTAAAAAAAATGATCCAGTGTGAGTCGTTCTGACAAAAGCTGGATTGGGATCTCTCCCTCTCTCTCCCAAAGCAGCTCCTGTGATACCTCAAGAAACCTCTCCAACTCCTTCGAGCAATCTGAAGGCCACAGTCTAGTCCACTCGCTGCTAGTCCTTATAGCACTCCCAGAAGGACAGGGAGACATGATCATTCCCATTTTAAAGATGGGAAATTGAGGCTGTAAGAGGTGTGGTCTACTCAGGACAGGAACTCATTCCACCGCCCACCCCCAGAGCTCAGGGAGGACAATGAAGCTCAGAAGAGCATCCAGGTTAACATGGAGGCTCTGGGGAAGCCGGAGTGGCAAGAGTTGGCCGGGGGGCTTGGCCTTGGTGGGGACCCCACCCTTAAATGTCCAGTACCTATGCTCAGGGTGCAATGGAAGGCCCAGGTTACCTGGCTGGTGTCCATAGTGCTGACTCTGGTCTGCAGGACAGCCTCGGGCTCAATCTTCTTTCTAATGGCCAGGCTGCTGACCGTCATGGTTTCCGTTTTCACGGGCTGTAGGGAGATGAGGGGGGACACTCCATAACCCAAGCCTCTGCATGACTCCTGCTCACAGGCCACTGTAACGTATCTCCCATCCCTGCAGCTGGCCGGGTCTCTGGAAGGGCACACGGTCCGGGCCAAGAGGCCCGGCGAGCCGTCCCAGACAGCCCAAGGGGATAGCCAGAGCCACCAGCAGCACCCAGACAGGCTGCTCATGACCCCGCCACCGCATAACCTCCCGGTGGCTGTGAGCTGATTTTTGGGCTCGTGCCAGGACCCCCACTAAGTACTGTCCTTATGTACCTGTCACTGAATCCTGACTGACTTCAGTGATTATGCTGCTGCCTCCCAGCTGCTTCATTTGAACTGTTCTTGAGAACAGGAGTCACACACCTGGGGGCCGATGGGGGGTGGGGGCAGGCAGGAGATGTAAAAGGGTGCAGCGGGCTGAGGACTGGGGTGAACAGGAGAACACAAGGGTTCCACTCAGGTTTGGCCAACGGTGGCCATGGCCTCTGAATGACTTGGATCATCTGATTTTTTTAACGATAAAGAAAAAAAAAACACCTATGGATTTTATATTCCACATCCCAATTTTTCAATCAAGGTCAAAGAAAACACATCTGCTAGCCAGATCTGGCCTGGGGCCACCGGTTTTCAACCTCTAGTCTAGAAGTCTCCAGTTAAATGATCAGTTTCTTCAGACTCCTCCAGCAAGGTCAGTTCATGTGGCTATTAGCATATGTGAGCGGAATGAATGACGGAAATAGCTTGCCATCTGGTTGGGAGGGTAGTGAGAGGGATTCTTATAGATTACTGTAACTGTGAGATCTAGCCATTCATCCAGTTAGTCATCTATTAATGCCTGGCATGTGCAGGCTTAGAGGAGCTGCCCCCGGGGGGACAGTGGGCCTGGCAGCCACTGACCTGACTACCTAGGATGATGCGGGGGAGCAGAAACATTCCAGAGCAAGGGGGCTGTGGAGGGAGCAACACTTCTGCGCAAGGTGGTCAGGAAAGCATTTGCTAGGGAAGTGATATCTGAACTTGGTCCTGGAACATGACAAGTTTGCAAAGCAGAGAAAGGGAAGCAAAACTTTCCACCCAGAGGGTACAGCATGGAGTGGATGCCCAGAGCAGATGAGCTCACATTTCAAAGCCTGGAACATGGGAGAGAGGAGAGTGTGCTGGGAGGTAGGCAGGGGCTGCGAGAGATGAGAGGGCGAAGGAATCACAGGACAAAGACCCTCTGAAGGAAGGACACAAAGCAGAGGGACCCAGACACAGTCGATCCCGGTGTCCCCCTCAGTGATGATATCTCCTCCTCTCTAGGAGTTTCCGCTGCTACCCCGAGACCCCGGGGCCAGATGGGTTTAGACTGCTGCCCCTTCCCCCAGGAAGCCCAGGCCCTAGGCACAGGAGCCGGGCCAGGATCAGGAAGAACCATCGACTTTCAGGCCAGGCCGCAGGCGAGTCCACAAGCACATGCTCCCTGCAGGCGCCATGCAACACAGGGAGAGGAGGCGAGTAAGACCAGATCGCCTGGCATCACTTGACCTCGGGCAAGCGATGGGGTCACAGGGTTGAAACGCCAAGGAGTGCATGTCAGGGGTGAACCAAGATGGCAAACATGCGAGCACAGAACCATGCTTTCTGCGAGGGGCAGTCATGCAACACGAGACAGAGCTTCAGGCTGAGGGACTCTGGGCTGCAGGCTGGCGGCTTGGTCTTCTCAGATGGCCCGGGGACCTCCGAACATGCAGTGCCCGCGGGGCCCAGGTCTCCAGGATGCTCCACTATACCTCAAACTGGGGCATATCTGGGGTGGCGCAGGCCCCTCGATCCGGGCTATCCTCGATGCCCCCAGGCTCGTCTTCCTGGCTGAGGCCCCCCTTGTTGAGATCCCGGGAGAACACCAGGCCCTCGGTCTCTGAGTCGCTTTTGTCTCGGTCGAGCTCAGGCAGGCTGCGGGAGAAGTCTTCGAAGGCGCCGCCATGGTAGTCACCAATGACCGTGAAGTCAACCTCAGCCTCCAGGCTGGACGTGGAGCTGACCGTGATGCTGGAGCACTTGCGCTCAATGGCCAGGTGGTTGTCCTTCAGGAACACCGCATCCCTCTCCTGGTCCTGGTCCTCGTCTCCCGTGTCACTCTCTGGGGCCCTGGGACGAGGCGGTTTGACCTTCTCCTCTGAGCCCTCCCTTAGCCCTGCTCTCTATGGCCAGATAAAAAATCAAAGGAACGGGGGTGTGGGGTGGGAAGAGAGAGAGAAAGCAAGATGGTGAATGACAGAAGAAACCTTGGGACCGTTTCAGTGTCTCAAATAGAAGAGCAGGTCAGGAAATGAAAAACACTCCCGGAAAGGTTCCTTGATGTGACAACAAGCTTGAAAAACCCGCAAAGTTCTCAAGAGTGGGGAACGCTCCTTTCCGAGGGTCTCCCGCTGATGGCCAAAGCAAGTACAAAGCAAACATCCCGCCAGTTGGTTCTGGACAGGAAGCCCCATCCAAGGTCTGGAACTGGGAGCTTATCAGAAGCGGCATTGTGTGCAAGGCAGGGATGGGAGCCCGGACCCAGGCCCACCCGTGCAGGTGGGCATCGAGAGACAGAAACCAGGGAGGGGAGACCCAGGGATTTAGGGAAACCCGGGATGGGAAGGCAGGGAGGCTGGAGCCAAGAGCTTTGAGAAACAAAGAGGAAGCCAACATGGTTTGTCAATTCCACTGAGTCTCTGTGGGAGGGGACAGTATCGTCTAGGGGGAGGAACAATATGGGTTAATTCCTGGGAGCCAGGGGCTACATCAGTTCAACCCTGAGCTCCAGGAGGGGCGGGCAGGCAGGCCGCCGAGTAGAGGTCCTAGTCCCATCAGTGTAATTGACAACAGCAGGCCAAGGAACTGCTGGAGGGGAACCAGCACGTCTTGTCCCACATACATACCTCTCAACTGGCCTGTTGGGGATTAAACACCACATGCACATTTTTGGCTGTTCCATGACAGTCTTTTTAAAGCCCAATCTAACACCCACCAAATATATTTTTTTAAGTAGTTGGCTTCGGGTTCTAGAGATTCAGTGCACTTAAGAGATTCACTTGCTAAACTTAGCTTCCATTTTAGCCAGTTTCTGGAAGGTTGAGAGGTGTGAGGGCACATTCCAGACAAGCGAGAGTTGAGACACCACAGAGCTGCCGGCACAGGTGGGAGTTGAAGGCAGCGATGCACCCTGGCCAGGTAAAGACGACCGGGGCATCCGGGCACCGGGGGGCTGCAGAGACCTGAGGGCCCGAGGGGCTGGCAGATCTCAGGCGCCCCCCTTTTGCAGGGGGGTTTGCTGCTAAGCTGGTGGTGGGCTTGTCTTCCCTGACCGCATCTCCGGATTTGTTCTGGATTAGAGAAGATAGTTAGTCTTAAGGAGGCAGAAAGGAACTTGGCAGTGGGACCAAGAGGGAACCAGAAGCGAAGGATGGAAACCTCTGGCCTGTCAGCTTCCCCAAGGCGGGAGAACCAGGGAAGGGAAAAGATGAAGGAAGATCATTGGACAAGCCAAGCAAAACAGGTAGGAGCCCAGCAGGTGGGGGCAGCAAGGCAAAGCAAGTATGTAGTCGGCTGGCGGTGATGCCACCTTCTCCACTGGGGCGGTGCAACCCACTGGGCGCCAGGTCACACCAAAAGCCGAGGGGCTCTGTGGCTAAGCTAACAGGGACCAAGCAGATGAACCCGTCATTCCGCCTGGGCTATCCCCGGGCCTGTGTAGGGAAGAGAACTCATAGGAATGGACAAGCAGCCTCTGATCGCAGTGATGACGAGGGGCCCCTGAAACATGCTTCTACAGAGCTACGGAGCATGCGGTCGGCTCCCCCAGCGGGGGAGGGGCAGCGGTGGGGGCGGGGGCTCACGTGGCCAGTGCCCCCGGTGGTTTCCTCCAGCGCAGTTTCGCAGCCCGAATCAGGGGACATGAGCTCGAGGTCCGTGCATTCTTCCCGGGGGGATGTGGTAGCAATGCCCTCCCTGAAGTATCTGGGCGCTGGTGACGTCACTGAGGAATGGGTGGCTTTGGGGCCAGCAAAGTCCCCCGGGGGCTGGAGTTGGACGAAGCCCAGGTCCAGAAGCTTATTCCGCTGTTGCTCTACCTGACCCACGGAGGCCTCTGAAGACAACTCGCTCATGAGGGCCCTTGTTTCACCTTGACTTGCTCGGCGAGTTTCAGCTCCATGGGTCTCAAAGATCCGAATTTTGTTGGCCACTGAGGTCTTGCTAATATCTTCCAGGGAGCCCTCTTGGCCCCCAGCCTGGAAAGAGGTCATCTCCTTTTGCTTCCCTGAAGGGAACACCAACCCCAGGGGTACAGCCCCCTCGGCTCCTTCAGAGACAATTCTGGGCTTTCTGCTGGCAACGGGAGGTGCCCGGCGCTCACCTCCGTCTGGGGTCACAGACGGTCCTACTCGGTCCTTGGGCTCTGGCCTCCCTTTAAAAGGATGGGCATGTTTGAGAAACACAGGGGACTGTTCTCCAAAAGGATCCCCAAGCTGTGGAGGCTCCCCTGACCCATGAGGGGCTGGGCTTGGAGAAGTTTCCTCTGGAGCTGCCTGAGCTTGAAAGGGACCAGGGGAAGCTGGGAGGGGGGCGATCATGTCCATCTGAAGAAACACTGAGGCCTTTCTGTCCTCCCTCGCAGGTTCTCCTGTTTGGATGTGCACCAGTCTCCCGTCTTGGTGCAGGAAGTTGCCTCTGTCTGGCTTGGTTGGCTTCCTGACATCATTAGGAGGGGTGGTCCATGGAAGGGCGCAGGCTGGGAGGTCTGGGCGCATGCCCCCTCCTCTGTGAGGTGAGTGGTTCTGCCATCCTGCTGGGGGACTTTTCTCAGCCTTTTCCATCAAATCTCCACCCTTGGGGGCCTCTTCCTCTGTGCCTAGGTTGCATGCTGGGTGGCTAAATTCTCCTTCCACCCCCCGCCCAGCTTCTTCCCAGTCCTCAGCAAATGTCTGCCCTGGAGAAGGTCCCTTACGAAGCTGCTCAACAAAGGCCTCTGGGCCATCTGGTCTTCCGTGGTCCTTGAGGGACCGTGCCCCTTCCTCTAAGGAGGCCGTGTGGCCATCACCCTCTTTGTTCTCGCTCCTGCTGGAAGCTGCAGCAGGGCCCTGTAGGTCTGAGGAAGTGAGCACAGAGCTCTCGGAGAGCCTCTCTGAGTGCTCCAGCCTGGTCTCGTCAACAGGAAGGGCATCCACATGCTCTTCCCTCTCCTCCAGAGGTGGAGGGAGGAAGGGGTCTTCAGAATCTTTCTCTCCATAGTTCAAATAGAAGCTCCTCTCTGCAAAGGAAGGTTTGGTTTCATCACTCGAGTCAGCTCTGGCTTCCGACTGGGCTGGGTCCAGCAGAAATGACTGGAGTCCTCCCTTGTCGGAGGCTGGAGAAGGGACATCGGCCTCTGCTAGCCTGGTCCCCGAGGCAGCAGGTCTTCCCCAAGTCTGGCACTCCTCCAGCTCCCTCCTCAGCTCCATCTGGCCCTCCAGCTGACCACCTGAGATCCAGCGCTTCTTGATGGTGGCCTCCCCAGTGCCCACCCTCAACTGGGAGCCCTCAAGGTTTCCTGCCAGTGTGCAGCCTGCAGCAAGAGAAGCCCCTTCTGGGCCTTTCCTGACCCAGGAGCCCTCCTCCCACATTGACTCAAAGTCTTCAGGGCTTGCAATCATTCTTCCTTGGTGCTGGGTCTTTGCTCTTCTAACTCCCACTATTTCTTCTGTGGCCACTTCGACTTTGAACTTGTCCACCAGGACGTCTACCTTGGAGAGTCTGCCATCAGCAAGGATATCTGCGAGGCCTGCCTTACTTTCTTCCTGCTGAGTGGTGGTCACTTTTAGGAGGCTGAGTTCTTCTGGCCTAGTGTACTCTCTTTCTATAAATACCCAATGCTCTGAACCCTGTGTTTCAATTGGAGCAAGAAGAGTTAACATGAAATATCACGCACCTGAAGAACGGGTCACTTTTTTTCCTCTGCAAGAAGGGACCAATCTACCACCAAAAGGTCAGCATGTCCCCCAGAACTGGCTGGGGGAGAGAAGGCATGACAATGCCAGTCAGCCTCATCAAGGCTCCCCTTCCCATCAAGGCACCCAACAAATTATTTACCGACTCCCCTCAACCACTACCCCAAGTTGGTAAAATAGGATGGGGGTCTCACGCCCTCCCCATGTGAATCATGGAACAATGGACATCCATGGATGGGCCAGGACTCTTCCTCTTTCTCTTTTAATAATACAATTGCCACTGTCAGAAGGGAAAGTAACTTACATCATGTGGAATCTTTGAATGTTAGAGCATAAAGAACTCCTAAGACATCCTCTAGTCCAAGTTCCTCATTGTGCAAATGGGTAAACTGAGACTTGGAGAAGGTCAGTGACTTCCCTACGGTCAAGTTAGTTCATGGTATAGTCAGGAAAAGAGTGCCTGAGATCCTTGCTGACTTACCTCACAACCTATAGACTATGGATCCCAACTGCAATCTAAGTCAAGAGAGGAAGCATTGAATTAAGTTCCATGAGCCACAGCCTGAAATCTGACTTCTCTGCAAGAGTTTCTGGGAAGGAAAGAGATTAGAATGAAAAATGCCAAATGCTCAGCTGAAGAGATCAGTGCCAGTCACCACAGTGGCCTGAACAGCTTGAATTTTGTAGGGTTCATTCCCAAAGAAAAGAATACCAAGGCCTATTCTTGGAGAATTCTGACAAAATCCACAGAAAGAGTAGAAAAGGGCTGACCAGAAGACATCATGGAAGGAAAAAATCTAAAGACCCAAGTATCATCACTGGTCAAAAGCACCAATAAGAGCGTAGCACTGTCAAGCTGTCGACAAAACAGCCCTCCATCTCTTCTACAGTCCTTTAAGCAACACTTAGGAGCGAATGATGGACTTCAGAATTGTAAAAAAAAAAAAAAAAAAGCCAGAAGGCTATTGGCATTCATACTGCTGCCACAGAATACTTTCTTCACATAAAACCTCAATGGAGGGGCGCCTGGGTGGCTCAGTTGGTTGGGCGACTGCCTTCAGCTCAGGTCATGATCCTGGAGTCCCGGAATCGAGTCCCGCATCGGGCTCCCTGCTCAGGAGGGAGTCTGCTTCTCCCTCTG